ATATCTTACTAAACTAACCTTACCGAAAATTGTTTACATGTATAATATTTCTTTAGACCTACTCTGCAAAATAGTAACGAAAAATAATATTATTTACAATAAATAATATGGAACTTACCTTTTCGAAGTTATTGTATATATTTCCTATAGTCCCCGCTGGGTGTCTTCAATAAAATTTTCAACGAAATTTGAATAAAAATACTGTTGTATTGTTGTTAATGTAAAAGTAACACTCTGAGCTAATTGTTACAATTAAAACAATAAAATATTAATTTGTGGGTAAGCCAAAATATTTTTATAAACTTACTGTACCATATTTGGTACAGTAGGTCAATATGGGTTAATCCAGCAAGATTAATATGACGGAAAATTATACGACTGCTGGCAGATTTGCCAGCTTCAGTTATTTATTTGCAAGTAACCTAATTTCACTTTAGTTCATATACTTACTTACTGGCAGTAATAGGTACCAAATGTACCATGGTGAATGTTTACGTTTTATGTTTATTTTTTGTTAAATTTATTAGATATCTAAGAGAAATATATTTTAATATTATGTCGAATTTTAATATTAAACCGCTATACTGCGCACGTTGTTCCAAATAATTCCAACCTAATAAATATTATTAATTCTATTTGAGTTATCGTTATGAATGACATATTTTAATGTGTTGCGTCCCTATATTATTTATTTATCATATTTTATTGGCAGCTGACAATTTACGTTTTCTGTATTATGCATGGATACTATCATTAGAAGATAATTTACACCGGTAGAACGTGTTACGAATAAAATGTATTTTATATTGATATTGTATTTAATCAATTGAAGTCATATTTCAGTATCAATTAATAATCAGTATTTTAATTACTTGGACCCATACTTAATTTAAATTATACTAATACATTAAAATATCCCGTAGTTTTAGGTCATACAGCAGTCAAATAAGAGCCTATCGAATCGAAAGCAATAAACGAAAACGAAAATTCCACACAAATGTATGTAGTAGTAGCGTACACCAACATTTTTTACTTTTATATACTTACATACATACTTTTATATACATTCTTGAATAGTAATTATCTAGGAGATATAACATAATTGCAGCTTTACGAGATTGTGTTTGCTCAATGTCTTTACTGGCTATATCATTTCTTTTGTATTATGTATTTATATAAAAAATTGTTTCAACTGTAAAGGAAAAAATATAAAATGCCATAAAAGACATTTTATATTTAGTTCTTCTTATATTGATTAACTGTTATTTTAACAACATTACACAAATCCTTGTTGACGAATAGTCTATAGAACACCTGCAGACTATTCTTGCACCATGTTGTATTAATAAAAACCAATATGAACAGATAATCACAGCATACTGAAATGCTTTATGATCACAATTTTTTACATTTTACTCGTGACTTTGTGTATTTTCATATTGTGTATTGGAAAATAAATTGATAATCTTGTATTCAATTTTTTATTACAAATAAAGACTTGTAACTCATTTATCGCAGTTTTCTTTCATTGAAATCCTCGTGTGGCGCAAAGCGTGTAGTAACGTCGCAAAAGACACATATTGTAATATTAGTTCGCAAAGCAAAATGGTAACTTAATGATGTAAGCTAAAATACTAACATTTAGCCTTAGGATATACTTAGGTGTATTTTTGACTTCATTCAAAATAGTGTACCTACATTCGCTAAAGATATAATATTTAAATGTCTGCAATGTAATCATTTAATAACTCTTTAATTTCTCAATATTTAACACTCAAGGGAATAGGAGTAAATGAGAAAGTACATTGTTGTTAGTAAATTAATTTATTTCTTTATACTTAGTTAAGATACTTAGTTCAGATAAAGCACCGTTGATAACATTCTATCATTAATATAGTTATTAATCTATAATCAGGCACAAACACAAATTGTTAATAAGTTTTATAATCAAATATGATTTTCCTCAGGCTAGACTCTTGTACTTTGTAAACAAATTATACAGCACCCGAAGAGTAGATTTGAGATCGAGATTCACAATGTCTGGAAAGAAAACAATATGGTTGTAAATAAAAAACAATAACATGTTCCATGTAAATGAGAACTTTTATTACCTTCGGGCCTTGCCTTTGGTTTGGCAAGTCCAACATCTTGCATCAGTTCAAAGGCAAAGGAGACATTATGGACTTTTTGATCAAAATCCTCTGGAATCAGATGGAAATCATACAAAGGCACAAAGAACCCTTCCAGCAGACCCATCAGAAGGCACAGGTATACACCATCATGAAACTGGGTGTCCAAGTCCATCACTTCAAGATTGACTTTGCTCAAATGTTTGTTTACAAAAGTAATGAGTGACTTCTTCACCACCTGCAGCTTGTCAGGTGCATGATCAAACAGAGCGTCAAATGCATCCCTTTCGCATTTCATACCCAGGTCATCATAAGTTGTTGTGATTGTTTCAACAAATGTCCTGAAAATGATTTTGATAAATTAAACCTGGATGATATGATAGATAACGATGCATAACATTTCTCCATAAACAGTTTTATAGCCTATCTAAGGTTACATTTTGTTAGTAGTGTGGAAAGTTTACCTGTGGGATAGTTGATTTGGTGTATCCTTCTTCACAACCACAACATTGACGCTCACATTTTCAGGCAGACGTACTGGAGCTCGGTAGTGACGAGCCAGTGCAACAAGCAAATGCAATATAGATACAACATTCTTTGAGTGAATGGAATCCACACTCCACTTGGGAACAGGTTTAGCTGTTCCATACAGTACCTGGAAGAAAATGAGAAAGATATTTATTAGTGAAGAAAGTGAAGTATTTTACACAATAGAAGTTAAAATACTAAATTACAATGCTTCATACCCGATTCACTGCTCTGAGTACAACAGCCAACTTCTGTCGTTGTCCCTCTTCAGACTGTGTCACCTCAGGCACGTCCAGTTTAGTCTGGGTCAAAATCTCCAGGAGCTTTTGAAGTACTTGGCCATCATATAAATCTTCACTAATATCCTTGACTATAATTCTCTGGGTGGCAAGTTCATCATTGATCCAATCAATAAGTACTTGAATAAGTTCTTTGACTTTTGGGTCTTCAAGTGACCTCGGCTCTATTATAGCTCTTTCTTCATTGTCATCTGGAAAACACTACAGGCAAGTTAATTATATATACTTAATATATTTTTATACATAATAATATAAAGTTAAAACAGATATAAACATATCTGCATTGTGTTAAACAAACAATTTTTCCTGTTTGTTCAAGTTTTCAGGAAAAACTAATGGACAGACACCTATGTGAGTCATATGTACTTAAACGGTCAAATACCAAGCGGTCACCGGTGACCGCAACCTATTGTTCTATAATTGTGTCTATAATGACATTACTCGACGAGTTAATATACTATGTAGAACAAAAAGTGCAAGTTTTAAAAAAGAAACTTTATTCTTACTCAAACATGTATGAGCTGAAGTGAAGCTTCCTTTGTTGCATAAGTTATGACTCATATAACAAAGGTGTAACATACAACTGTAACAAATCTATTAATAGTAAGATCATGATAATGGTTGAACAAACGGGTAATTTTAATGTGACTATTGCTCATACCACTTACGTAAACTGTATTCTTCCGGTGGTATCTCTGGAGCAGTTGGGCTCCCTGGAGAATCAATTGCATATTTTCCCTCAGCCTGTACATCTTGCACTGTATACACAAAACACAATTAATATTGATAAAGGTAATTGAACATGAGTGATAATATACCACTCTATATGAAATGTGAAAATATATTAGTTTATGAACATTACTTACCTAATATTTTTTTATGAATAGTAAACAAATTAATGATTGTTATTTAACTTTGAGTATTAAAAAAAAGAAGAAGTAAGATTTCATAACAACACTAAAACATTTACCTTCTTTTATGCGCTTCTTACGTCCTATGGTGCCAATTTTGTCCCAAAATGATTCTTCTTTATCTTCCTTTTTAGGCAATACAGGAGTCCGAGGGGATTTCGGGCGTGGTGACGACATCTCTCACTGCCTACCTATTAAAAATAAGGTCACAACCAATCAACACCTGGCCAATTATTCCATTAAAACTCTCATTAAATTTACTTATTTTCAAACTAACTTTAATAAAATAATAGTAACACTATTTCTGTAATTATTACAGAAAATAATTAACTCGTAAAAATTACACATACCTTTTATTTTTAACCCGATGAAAATATGATAGGTAACAACTAAACTAACAAGAGCACAAAAGTCAAAAGCAAAACTTCAACATGAACAACCATAGACTATACACTCTAACTGGAATAGATGAGCAATGAGCAACTGTCTGATGAAGCAGACATTGGTCACATTCTGCAAAAAAACTTAAAGAAACCGTAGACAATCGTTTTTTTTTAAGGGGGGAATATTGAATGACTGCTCCCGCCTGGGTGAGACGGGAGGGAGTGTCAGACTCCTTCTGACTAAAAACCACCCCGTTCCTTCTCCTGCACGTCGAGCTGGAGCCCCGGTAATCCGATAAGTTCTCCGCGACTAGACAATCGTATGGGACTACAAAACCCATCAAAAGCGGTATTTTAATGTGATTAATTCGTAAAGTGATTTCCTTACCAAAACTACACAATTATAATGTTTGTCATTTAAATGTACCTTTGTCTATTTAATGGCTGTTCCCATTACATAAACTCGTTAATGACAACGAAAGCAATCGAAGTCGGGTTATCACAGTACGATTTTGGGTTGGCTTGGACCCGTTCACTTGAACGCTGGTATACGCGGACGATTGAGCTAGACGCTATTCGTATCTCGTATCATGTATAATATTAGCCCGATGATAATAAAGAAGTTGCGGTAAATTAATAAAATTCATTTTACATGACATCTGTAAAACACTTACGAGACAAGAAAAAATTACAAATTATTGCAGAATAACGAATAGTCTATGGTACACAAACACATTGTCAATTGTGTCACTTTGTGTCCAGTGAATACCAAAGAGCATTGATGAATAGTGAATAATACCTAAACAACTTGTTGATAATGTGTAACTAATACTACGAATTTTAAAAAAATATCCTCCCTCCATTATTCTCCAGTGCAAGTATTGATTTTTCATCTAATAGGTGTGACGACGTAGGTTGTTTATCCATCTATTATAAAACGGCCTGATTCGAGAAAAGCTCCCGCTTCTTGTGTTATATAGGTTGGTGGAGTCATACCTAAAAATAGCTTCAAGATTATATTGCATCACAGTGACCGATTGTGAGGGGAAGTTAATATAGTTTACCTAAGTGTTTACTGAAAAATTCGCAGAAGACACGATGGAGAAAGGCTGGAATCCTCCTCCGTATGGCTGGAGTAACGCGCATACGACGCAGCCACCACCAGCTGCTCCTCCTAGCTACTCGCAAGCTGTAGGGGGTGTTGGTCCTTCCAGCCCTTACACTCCTCAATATCCTCCATGTAAGTAACATTGAAATTAACATAACATATATTACTGGTACATTGCCATTTTAATTAGAGGTTGAAATTTGGAACATCAGTAACCAGAACTAATAAATAAAGACGCATTTATTATTGTATTAAAACAATACATGCTTAGATACATTTTTTATGCAGTTATGCTTTGTTTATTCTATTTATGAATGGGTGTTACTGTAATCAAGGTCAAAACTGCTGTTGTATAAATTTTATTAATTTCACTTTATTTTGTACACCAATTAAATAGTATGGAAAATATGTTAATTACTGATGGATTGTGAATTGACATTTAAATTTACCAAGTTGAGAAAGTTGTATTTATTGTTGTAATTATTAGTACAGTTGTAATATGGAAATCAGACTAAGTTGTGAAGGCATCATGTTGATAGTTTACATTGATAATACCTAGTATTATTTTATGCTGCAATAAATAAATGTTATCTAGTTGTTTTAATAAAGACAACCTTGTAGTTTAATATATAAAGGTCACTTCCTTGTAACATTTAGTCACCATTAGTGGGTTGATGATGGTTTTTAATACAATTAGCACTCATTTTGTTCATTCTGACTGTTATGTGACTGCAATAATTAGCAATTGAAATGAAATGGTATGCAATATTTTTCAGAGCATTTCTGTTGAAATTGTAGAACTATAGATCACAGCAACTTGCACAAAACAATTAACTTTTTGATAATGCACTTGCTAATATTTTAATATGCATTGCTAAATTACCTTATTTTGCGATAACATTTGCAATGGCTGGGCGCAAGCTGGTAATACTGGTTAACTTTCTTAAGCCCGAATATTGAAACAACTCTTAAATATTTGACAAGTGCTTAAATGATTGAGGAGTTCTAAAACTCTAATTTTGTATACTCAAATGTCAGTTATCAATTGACATCTTTTAATTTTAACCTGTTGATATTCATCCCCTAAATTTGGTCATACAAAAGTATTCTCTAAACATTAGAAATAAGGTCTATAATGTAATGTAATATTAGTGGAAAGCGGTCACCGGTGACCGCTTGGGGATTTATGGGTTAATTGATTCAAATCAATTTTGTATGGCATATTTTATATCTGAAATCTGAAAGCCGAAAAATTAAAACAATATTTTGCACATGTCCCTCGTTTGATATTTCCCTAGAAGCTGATAATTTTTAAATGTTTATTTGCTAATGCAACCAAGCAATTCCATAATTCATTCAAATAATATCAACATCACTAAAAAACTTAGGTGACAAATGCTGTATGATCACAACCTTAACAATAAACTGGTTGTAACCTTTTATCAAGCAACCTCTAACATTAACTAAAATTTTGATTTGACTACATACTACATTTTGTCTTCAAATGATCACTTTGCCTTGACCCAATAGTCAATGCCACAGAATCGGGCTTCTATAAAGGGACAGTTTTGTACTTGAACTCTATATGAGAGGACTATGCTTGTATCTCTTAAGAAGAATGGAAACTGTTACGAGGTAATCCGGCAGAGATCTTAAAGTTACCAACTTAGCCCAAAGGAGTATCATTAACAGTGAGCCGACTACATGTGTTGAAGAACCGATGACTGTTGGGGTAGACATGTTCTGAAGTGGAGAATGTGTCTAGGTCAACATAGTGTAGACTGTGTAGAGGCAAAGGATGTCCAGCAGTGGACGATAACAGGTTGATGATGATGAAGGCAAAGCATGCTTATTGAAGACATTTCCTTTCCTATAATTGAGGTTGATAAGACCCCAATTGCACAACCCATAGGTCTGGATAGCAATGTATACTTTTGTAATAGTTATGTTATGTGTATAAATAGGATGTTCAAATAAGGGCGGACATAAGCAGACATAATGTCACTTAGAAGTGATTGAAGCACGAAAAAGTCAGTCCTTTTTATGTGTGCGTGTGTAATGCGCTACCACGTCACTAGACTTAAGAAAATGACAAATGTCCTTCGTGTTAATGCGTTTACGATCTGCGTGTAACTCTATAGTAGCCAGGTGCCACAGCTGTTGTGTCAAGGGACTGAATCCACCTTTTCTTCATTGTATATGGTTAATAAATTATGTATGTCAATCAATAATTAAGAAAAAAGTTTAACCCGTTGATATCCATCCCCTAAATTTGGTCATACAAAAGTATTCTCTAAACATTAGAAATAAGGTCTATAATGTAATGTAATATTAGTGGAAAGCGGTCACCGGTGACCGCTTGGGGATTTATGGGTTAATTGATTCAAATCAATTTTGTATGGCATATTTTATATCTGAAATCTGAAAGCCGAAAAATTAAAACAATATTTTGCACATGTCCCTCGTTTGATATTTCCCTAGAAGCTGATAATTTTTAAATGTTTATTTGCTAATGCAACCAAGCAATTCCATAATTCATTCAAATAATATCAACATCACTAAAAAACTTAGGTGACAAATGCTGTATGATCACAACCTTAACAATAAACTGGTTGTAACCTTTTATCAAGCAACCTCTAACATTAACTAAAATTTTGATTTGACTACATACTACATTTTGTCTTCAAATGATCACTTTGCCTTGACCCAATAGTCAATGCCACAGAATCGGGCTAAACAACACCTACCTCATACATGACTCATACTTTTATTTATATCTGTTTAAGGTTATTTAAAGAAAGATTTGCTGTATGACATACTTTCTTAAATATAATCATATTCATAATAATCAATATGAAAAGTTATATTGTAAAGCACAATTTCATAATAAATTATGTGTACCTACTTAGAATTCTACTACTAAGAATAAGTGAAGGTTAAGTAACTTAAAATAAGCTGTATGGTTTGTGAAGGCTATGCAATTTGATTTGATTTAGCTATGTTAACTTATTATCTTCTGCTGGCTCCCACATAAACATAAGATATTTTGTGGTTTAGCAGTGAATGAGATCATAATAGAAAATACAGTATTATCCTGAATTCCTTTGTTTTAATGACGTATCAACAGTATTATGAGTAATTGTTGTTCTCCTTGTTGTTATTGAGCATTTAAATAAATCAGCAAATTATAATAGTCAGTAAATAGAAACTAGGTATTATATTCCTTTTTTGTAATTTTGTAGTAATTTTGGCCACAGTTATTGTTACTTTATACCAACAAATATCAAGATGTACACTCTCGTAAATAGAACAGAACTGTGTTGACTTTTAAAATACTTGTAAATGTCAGTGATTTTGTTTCTCATTTCATTTAATTAATTATTTTTCTATTACAGCCTCAGGGCCTTCGATAGTTACTACGGTGGTGCCAGTCGGTCCTCATCCCACCCACATGATCTGCCCCAGCTGCCATGCGGAGATAGATACAGCCACTCAGACTAAACCAGGCCTAATTGCATACATTTCTGGAGCCATCATTTGTCTTGTGGGGTATGTCAGTAGAATATTATTGTGGATCATGAAAGAATTGGTAATAAAAAACTGTGTTTAAAAAAACCGACTTCAAAAACGAATGACTAACAAAAAGTAAAAACTAAAAAGGAAAAAATAACTATTATTGGTCATACATACTTATAGCTTACACACCCACTGATAGGGTAGAAGTCCTCCTCCTTTTTTTGAAGTCGGTTAAAAATTGGAGAGTAAATGTGAAAATAAATATTTATTGAATTCATTACCAATTATGTAAAGATAACACAGTAAGTAACAATAGTATTAAATTTATTTCAGTTGCTTCTTCGGATGTTGCCTTATCCCATGCTGCATTGACAGCTGCATGGATGTGCATCACAAATGCCCCAACTGTGGAGCTTACCTTGGCCGCTACCGACGATAAACATCACAAACATCACGTGATCGACGAAAATAACTACATAATTGGAAAACTGAACATTTCAGGATCTGCATGGGAAATCTTCATTTACTTTAAACCCTGCCTATATCTTGATTTAGCTTTTAACAATATTATTGACGAAGAAAAAAACAATAATTTACGATTTAAATTAATCGAATAGATTATTTTCTCGAATGAAAGAAATCTCATAAACCACTTTTAAGTTAGATAGTTGCATTACTTATTTTAAGTAACAGTAATTTATAATTTATTGTCCCTAGTCAAAGGGCAGCATGCATGGCATTGCTTGACAGCTAGAGTAGATGTCAATTATTATTGGTTGGGGTGTCCAGTAGTCCTGCCGAACACTTCGTACAGCACATCTTGGCTCTCGCGCAACTTGCGCTTGTGACGATGGGTTAAAATCTAAATATCCGTCAAACTGAGCAATATTACGGTACTGCCTTCTACTTTGTTAAAAAGGTAGTTACCTATTGATACAAAAAGTAAAATGGCTTTCTAGCGACAAGTCAACTAACTAATTGAAGCTGGACTTGGAGGAAGATTACTTCTATTATTGATTTAAATGCTTAAGGCATTGGCTGCCAATAAAAAACTATTGAAGGCAAATCCTCCGCTAATGTCGGTCACCAGTGACTGCCATGGCGTTTAACGTGTTAACATGAATGTCTTTATTGTTTGTTTTCATATGCTTACATACATAGTACAATTTAGTATGAAATGCAATTATAACTTGTTGACTTATTTAATGAGATAATTTATGAGTTGATTCGTTTTTACGTGTTTTTAATATTTAAGAGTAAGCCATAGCGCGCATTTATCTATTAAGCAGAGTTATATTCAGTGCCAAAATGTCTTCCCCATGGCCCGACAACTTATCGATCACTTGTTACACGATTTTAATAAATATTCTAAATGTTTAGTGACTAGAATACCACATGATGCGTATTATTGTATGTATGGTATGGTATGTGTAGAATAGTAACTACAATTAAGGTCTGTTTCACAATGTCTGATTATTGTGTTAGTCTGACAGATAATTTGACTTATTTTTCAATGTGTCCGTCAAAGCTTACAGAAATGTAATCAGACATTGTGTAACAGGCCTAATAATTGACGTCATTGCATAGCATCACAATTCGGACCCCAAAAACCTGAAAATCAGGCTTTATGTGTTTATGTCGTATAAATCCACAGTAGTCCCCGTAGAAATTACTCATTAAGTAATAGAATGTGAACTAAATGTTGTATGGAAGCTACTTAAATGTGTTGGATGTTATTTCACAGTATGTATTAAAAATGTGTTTTGTTCCCTCCATACAAATTATAATCTCACCTCTTTGGTTAGTCTGACTAACAGCTTAGTTTTATAAAAAAGGTTTATGTATGATCGTTATAATCTACTTTCCAGTTATTACTCTAATGTTATGTTGATATTAATAACAGATTTTCACAGCATATTAGGAGTACATCATTTTACATAGATTAATGTTATTGATATATTGAGTAACTGCGTGTATCTTACGTATTTGGTTAAGGAATTGTTACCAGCCTTTTAATTTAGTTTTAATTTAGTCACTTAAGCTAATTTTATTAATTTACAATTATTATTTACTGCATAATAGGGAAATATTGACGGACACGGGTTGTCAGTGATTTATTTGTGTTACAATAACTCAATACTGTTTGGCTTAACATTTTTCAATAACAAATACATACATACATACAAGTTCAAATAAATTGTTGTTGAGCTTGATATTAATCAATCAAAATACCCAGTTGCATTATAAAGTACCTACCTTACTGCCAACAGCATTTAGCCATATATTGATTTCATGTAATTTCATGACATGAATCATTGTTGATTTCCATTGTATTTACATTCTTCATATCTGTTTTAGATTAGTATAAAATGAAAATGAAGTAAAGACCCTTATTGGTATCTTATAAAATTCGGAAAATTTGTTTACAAAATTTAGATTCTACTACTTACTTCTATGAAATATATAAATATTTTAATAAAATAATTTCTTTATACCTACTACAGGCATTTTACATTTTTATATAAATTTATATGTATATTTAAAACTTACCTGCTTTAATCTATTTTCTTACTACTTACCATAAAAAGTCTATAATGTACCTATTTTCTTTTCTATTTATATTTTACATTATTAAAAAGAAATAGATTTATGGACTGTCTTAACAAGAATAAACGTTTATTAATGTCGTAAGTAAAGACTTTCAATCTAGACATTAGAACTTACCACAGCCTAACTTCAGACTCTGGACTAGGTAATATTTAATACTACTATGATTACATATATATGTGATATAGGTACCTCTAAACTATTTACTTAAAGTTTTTACAAATTTGTGGCCGACTGTCTCTCATGTCCAGCGTTTTATCCTCATATAAACTTAATAGTCTTCACTCTCTTAATTTGCAAAAAGAAAAGAAATGTAGACCACTGTGTTATAGAGAATTTAATTCTCTACAATACCTACCAAAGAGTATATTAAGTATAGGTAGGGGAAATACCTACATCCAAACAGCATAACACTCATATTATGTAGAATATGAAATCAAATTTCTATAGACGCGGACATCCTACGATAAGTAGATTTTGAGACAAGTATTATGTAGTCAAAACAAACATTTTTATAAGTTTTCAGCCGGCTATCTCACATTCCGTGATCCTTACCTTAATTACTATAATTTTCCTTGGTTATGTATATATAGCAATCACTAGAGCCTAAGTAAGAGTAGGAGTCGGGCAGGAAGATGACGATGAGATACCTACTAAACTCATATCTGGATATTTGAAATCAGATAGGACAACGAATAAGTATCAAGTAACATGTATATTTCTCCCAATAGACGGAAAAGAAAGAAAGAAAATAAGACTTATTTCTTACAATAACGTACATACATACATACATTAACGTACGTTTATAAAATAATAGGTATATTATTATACCATGATAATAGGTAGGGTACGTGGTTATACGAAAACTATAGATGAATATGATAATGAAAATTTTTCATAAATTTTAAGTGAATAGTAGTTAAATGGTACCAAAAACAATGCTTATATAGGTACCTACATTGTTTCGTCATGTGAATGAATTTCAGCAACGCACCAGTAAATCCTCTAGTGTTGCGAATGTCCATCGTCCAACGATAGTGCCGAACAATATTATAAGTACCTATCCAGGTAGGTACTAGGTATATTTTAATATTTTTACAAAATTCTATACACCTTGTCTGTAGTCAAGCCAGTTGCGAGACAAGCAGACGGATCACACGATGGTAAGTAAACAATCGACACCGCGTAATGGCTATTCGCAATAGATACCAGAGTTATATTAACGTTAACGAGCTATTAACGTTGCCCTTATGGCGAGACACATAACACAAGCTTAATTTCACATCTTTTTCCCTTAGCTTCCTTTCGATTTATTCGGGTCGAGCGAGAGGGCTCCCTCGCGCTCGTACTGAAGCATGGTCCATCCTCGAGAACACGACAACAAGCAAAGTATTAATGATATTTCCGATAGATACATATTAAAATAATGTTTGTACCTAATAGAACAACGCAACCCTAGAGTAATAGTCGCGGAGAACCTAACGGGTAACCGGGGCTCCGGCTCGACGTGCAGGAGAAGGAACGGGGTGGTTTTTAGTCAGTAAGAGTCTGACACTCCCTTCCGCCTCACCCAGGCGGGAGCAGTCATTCGATGATTTTCCCCCCTTAAAAAAATTCCCTAGAGTAATACTTACGTATGACATAAAAGTATTAAATTAATTATTATGTTTTCCGGCATAAGTAGGTAATTATTGTACGAATAGGAGCCTCTCTATCTCCCTCTCAACTAGACGAGAAAATTGAAAATATCTCACTTGTAAAAATATTTGTTAGAGATAATGTAATATTACGTTGCTGCCTCTGCTCGTTTGCCGAGTGGTCGCAATTGCGGCTGCCGGGCAAGGGGTCTCGGGTTCGATTCCCGGGTCGGGTAAAGTACTACTGGGTTTTAAAAAAATCTCAGTAGTAGCACGGAGTCTGGAACTGTGCCCGGTATATGGCAATAGGCTCACCCCCTATTACATGGGGCTCATAACATAAATAGTGAAAAGTGGGTGTTACACAGTACAGTGGTTTAATTAATGTGCACTTTTGCCTACCCCTTCGAGGATAAAAGGCGTGATGTTATGTTATGTTATGTAATATTACCTCATGTCCAATACCTAATACCTATGAATATTTTAACGATTTTTTTCATGCGGGAAATAAATTATGTACAAAAACAAATGACAATATATAACTATCGACGCATACGCATTGTCCAAGACAAAAAAAATATATCACATTTATAAAAGTGGTGGTTATTTTTTTTTACTTTATTTATAATAGTCTAGCACACTAAATTTGTATTCAAATATTTATGAAAGATATCAAAGTATCTCCCATAAATATTTAGAGAGATTTTTTGTCGTAGCTGGTATCACTTTTGCGCTGAGTACTGTAAACCACAAGCCGCACACCACTTACCTACAAGGAATTTTGCAGTTTGCCAATTTTCAATTTTATTCCTATTGTATGGTAACGCTGGCTACTATAGATTTACATGCAGAATACATCAATACACAACATTGACACGAAGGACATCTATCGCGTGACATAGGTACTTACACATTTCACTTGTACACTTTATTGATATTATGTACGGTTGTACGGTATTGGAAGTACACGCACACATAGCTACCCTACTGACATTTTGGTACTTCAATAATTTCCATCCAAGTGACATTACGTCCGCTGTTTGGTTTTATAATTTTAATTTTTCAGCTGTCCATAGACAAAGCTTTTGTTTCTAAAGCACTAAGGAACTGTCAAATGCGTCTGCTAAAAGAGTGACAGCTCCGCCAGGAGTATTTTAAGTGCCTTTTCACACGTTTCGGTTGCCGGATCCGGGTAACCGGCGCCGGGTACCTGGAGGCGCAGTGTATGGACGAATTAGCATGATTTCATACGCACCGGCGCGTTGTCGCCCAGGTACAATCAACTCGCACGTCGTTTATCACAGTATAGTATAGTTTGTCGCGGAGAACCCAACGGGTAACCGGGGCTCCGGCTCGACGTGCAGGAGAAGGAACGGGGTGGTTTTTGGTCAGTAAGAGTCTGACACTCCTTCCCGCCTCACCCAAGCGGGAGCAGTCATTCTATGATTTTCCCCCCTTAAAAAATTTTTATTTAATTTATTTCATTTAAATCAAAAGGTAGTTCGTTTAAGCCAGTTGTGTGTGAAGTTTATAAATCCAAGTGAAAACTATTTATATTTATTACGGTTGTATATTTTCAATATACAACAGTGGCGATGAGGATATGCAAAATTACGCATTAAAATTGTCTGTAGCGGTGATCTATGGCGTTTTATCGACGTTTGTCCATCTTACCCAAGAATGGGACAGTTTTAAATCGCAAATAAATCAGTGGTTTATTGCGAATGATATTACCTCGCTTACAGACAAATCGGATACTAAATGAAAAGTCATTTTAATTCACACGATAAATAATTATTGCATTACCTATATATTGAAAATATATAACAATTAGAAATCTAAACATTGCAATCTTCCTTTTACTCGCTGAGGTAGAGATGCAGTTATTAAATGTAATGTAAACATTGTGATAACCATTGTTTAACTCAATGAATATAACACTAACTTTTCACCAGTTAGGTAGGTATGTTATCCTCTCATCTGTCGATATGTGAGACACAATAGAAAACACACTGTGTCTCGCGTAGGTCTGCGTTTCGACACTTCAAAGGCTAAGTAAATTTCAAGAACAAGCGCTTTGGCACAAATGGGCCGGCTCGATCGAAGTGCCACCACCACCTTACAAAATACAAAAAACCACCGTGAAACAATACTTGCCATAAGTTTCTTGTGTTAGTGAGGTTACCGGAGGCCCAAATACCCCTTCCCCAAATTTCCAAAATCTCCAGTAATCCTCAAATTCCTAAACCTCAAAGGGCCGGTAACGCAACGGGCGGCACCAATTGCTTACCGTTAGGTCATCTGTCTGTTCGTTTACAGTCTTATTCCATATAAAAAGTAATCTTTCAGGCACAATAATTAACGTACCGCTTTGTACGTATAAAGGTAATATTATTAAGTAATTAAAATTATGTTTATTTACCGAATTGCAAATATTTGTTCACGTTCTATTTTTAGAAAGGTAAAAATAAATTATGTAGTGCAGAAATCGGCTCGTGTGAAAGGTAAATGTGATACCGGACACGGCACGGACAGTCGGCGCCGGCTACGCGGCAACCGGATCGTGTGAAATGGCACTATGTGTTCTGTGTCTGTCTGTGGTCTGTGACTGTGTGTGAGTGACAGACGGACATCGCACCGTGATCGGTCGTTTGCCCGTGGTTGAAGATAGAATAATTTTATAAAAAGAAAATTAGATTTTATATTATTCTTTATTGAATTAAAAAAGCTACCTTAGGCCAACATGTCGTGGTTATTTGGGTACAGTTCTACGCCTCCGCCACCCTCTGATGTTCCACCTGCAGATTCTGGAGGGTCTGCCGCACCCCCAACTAACCTAACCAAATCTGAAAAGAAAGCCATGGAAGCCTATCGTTTTGACTCTAGTGCTTTAGAAAGAGCTGCACAAGCAGCTAGAGAACTAGAACGCTCAAGTAAGTACATAAAGTATGTTATTATCAATCACATTGCGCGCTATTGCATAATGCGACCGCATAACCTTACAGACCGCGAGCGAGGCCTACTTTTAATTATAACTTGTATATTTTAATGGATCTTATCATGTTTTGGAATACCATACTTAAAAACAGTACACATGTTCTTGTGTCCCTGTACTATGGTCACCTATTATTACTATGAGTATAGTGGTTACATAGGTTAAGAGTACCTACCTAGTAAAGATCTGTAGATAAAATTCTTGTGTTATCATATCAACCATAATAAGAGGTCTAATTGCATTGATACAAAAAAATGAATTATAAACTTCAGTTATGTTGAAGAAACTGTTTAGTCTTGTAATAATAGCATAATCTTATAAGATTTTTTTTTCATCTAATAAGATGCATAAAAATGTTATCTCTGTAATTACGCCTAAAACCAATGTACACACACAGATAGTAATGCATATTAAGCATACACATGCATACAGCATATTATAGATAGTGATCTGTTCAGTAATCAGTAAAACCATATAAAATATGTGTATAAATATTGATTTTTACACATATTTTACAAGGAATACTTTGTCTATGATAAACTTTTGCTATTAAAGAACAGTGGGCAAAAGTCTATGTGCGGCACACCCACATCCGTCACAGCTCTGACTACTTCTGTTTGTAAGATATCACAGCCATGGTTCACTATGCCAGAACACATTAAATTCTGTGTCGTGGTTAGGGAACCCCGGGGTAGAATTTAATAAATTTGAAGATTTACAATAAACAAATTAGGAAAAAATATACCAATATGAAAACTAAAAAGTAATTTTCCTATATCAGTAGTCAAGTGAAAAGAAGTTTATTGTTTCTGCTTGTTCATGTACTGTGTGTAAAGGAGAAACTTATAATATTTACAATGCTTATTTCTACAGAACATTCAAAAGAAGCCTTGGAGTTAAGTAAGCTACAGGAAAGTACCAAACAGACAGAACAAATGGCTAAAATAAAAGAATACGAAGCTGCCATAGAACAAGCCAAAGTCGAACAGAAGAGAATTGATTATGAAGAGCGCAGGAAAACATTACAGGTTTGTATGCAATTACTTTCATCATGAGAAAAATATTAATAGCTTAGATTTTTTGCTTTGATAATAATTGTATTGTAATGTTTTAGGAGGAAACTAAACAACACCAAATGAGAGCCCAGTATCAAGATCAGTTGGCTAAAAAGAGATATGAAGAGCAGCTTGTACAACAGCAAAAATCACAAGATGAAATCCTTAGAAAGTATGTACCAATTTAGTACTATTTTTTATTACAGTCTGTCACCTTCTTCGGAACATTCAGCAGTATATTGAACATTATTGTTGTTAGCGCTTTAGGTATGTGACCTGTGTCCCATCCTCTCATCACCATTATATGATTTGGAGTGTCATTCAATTTCTTTCAATTCCTTGTTTTACTGTTGGTATTAATTTGTGTTGTGGTGTAGCAGTTCATTGGGTATAAATCAACGGTGATTGGTTATCAAGCGGAGTGAGTTATTTTCATTTCCTACTGTCGAAAGGATGGGTTAGCCCTGGATTGGTCCGGTTATTTGTCGCGCTGCCAGAGGCTTAGTCACTCGTTTTGCACCACCCGGTTTTCCCTAGACTCACTCTATGTTGGGCCCATGAGAAGGTGATTGTTACGGACGCGAGTGACTCTATCCCCAATTCAATACTTTGAATTACTTTTGTTTTATTGAAACCCTAATTGCTTGTATGATTTCATTCTAGACAAGAAGAGAGTGTAGCAAAGCAGGAGGCATTACGGCGTGCTACTATTGAACATGAAATGGAGCTAAGAGAGAAGAACAAACTCAAAGCAATTGAGGCCGAAGCTCGAGCCAAAGCTAAAGCTGATCGGGAAAACCGTGATATCACATTAGAACAAATAAGATTAAAGGCAGCTGAAAACAGAACCACTATTCTAGAAGGTATCAAGTAAGTATAAAATTTAAAGCCAAACGTGTAATGTGTTTAAACAAACATGTTGATGAGTACCGCTTTTTTTATAACAGGACAGCAGGGAGTGTTGTGGGCACTGGCCTTAATGCCCTTGTGACTGATTGGGATAAAACTCTAGCTGCTGCTGGAGGATTGTCACTTTTGGCCCTAGGTGTATACTCCGCTAAAGGGGCAACATCAGTTGCTGCAAGATTTATTGAGGCTCGCATTGGTAAAAACATTTTTATTCATATTAATTTCTTTAAGAAATATTATAATACTTAGATAAATTACGATTATAATTTGTTGTTTCTGTTGAACAGGCAAACCCACCCTTGTGAATGAAACATCTAGATTCTCTTTACTGGAAGCTGTTAAACATCCCATACTCACCATTTCCAAAGCAATTCAGAGTTTCAAAAAGCCATCAGATGCTTTAGCAGGCGTTGTTCTCGCACCAACCCTTGAGCGACGACTTCGAGACATTGCTATTGCAACTAAAAATACGCGTTTGAACAAGGGATTCTACAGAAATCTCCTTATGTATGGACCTCCTGGAACTGGTAAAACTTTGTTCTCAAAGGTTAGTACAAATTTATTTTTAATAAATAAGTAGTATGGTTTAAGTGTTTTAATCAATAATGAGTCTTACTGTTAATTATTATTCTTGTGCTAAGTGTAAAATATATTTTTCAGAAACTGGCAAAACATTCAGGCATGGAGTATGCTATACTCACTGGTGGTGATGTTGCCCCCATGGGAAAGGATGCTGTTGCAGCTATACATAAAGTATTTGATTGGGCTAATACAAGCAAAAAAGGTAATTTGGAAAATAATAGCACAATACCACAAATGTGGTGTATATGAAAACAAACACATTTCTGCACAAATGCTTAAAATAAAATTGATTTATATATATTACATAAAATTTTAGGTGTACTCCTCTTCATTGATGAAGCTGACGCATTTCTGAGAAAGCGTTCCTCTGAAAGAATTAGTGAAGACTTGAGAGCAGCACTCAATGCATTCCTGTACAGGACATCTGACCAAAGCAATCGGATTATGTTGGTGCTTGCTTCAAACACGCCTCAACAATTCGATTCTGCAATTAACGATCGTCTCGACAAGATGATTGAATTCGGCCTGCCTGGTATTGAGGAGCGCGAACGATTGATTCGTCTTTATTTTGATACCTTTGTTCTTAAGCCTGCATCAGAAGGAAAGAGGTATAAAACCAAAGCGTTATAATGAAATGATTTCGTTTAACAAAACATAATGGGTTCCTAAAAATACTAAATTATAAATATTTCACAGGCGATTGAGTGTAGACCAATTCGACTACAGTGCATTATGTACAACACTCGCCGCCCGGACTGCTGGTATGTCTGGCAGAGCACTCTCCAAGCTGGGTGTTGCATGGCAGGCGGCAGCTTACGCCTCTGACGATGGACGCCTTACTGAGCAAATGTGTATTGATATATGTGACGATGCTGTTCAAGATCACCGTCAAAAGGTGGGTTCCTAATTGTACAAGTTGTTAAAATATGTGCAACTTGAATTTCATGTTAAAAGCGTTTACTTGTGGTGCTTTTTGTTTTAACACTAACATATTTTATTTATAGATGGAATGGCTGTCATCTGAAGAGAAATCGCGAAGTATGATGCCATATCTTCTAGACTTGCCGCCTTTGGATGTAGAACACAATGAAACAGCTCAAATTGTTAGCAAGAAGCATTTAGTGGCGGAGGATACAAATGAATCCAAAAATGCACAAAAGAAGAAAGAGGATATTGTTGAATTAGAAAAGTGACACAGTGTTAAATCTACTAACATGGCAGATGTAGCTGTAAACAACTTAATATGTTCCAGTCCCACACAAAATATTGCTAGCTGTGATACAAATCAAAAGTATAAATACAATTGTAAAAGGTCTGACTTCAAAAAATTCATTGTACTGAATGATCAGGATATGGAAGTTTTGCGTAAATTATCTCAAAAAAACAAAGTTGTCACAAGACAGAAGTGACTTAAAAATAATAGTTATTAATGTATCGTTTTATTAACAGAGCGTGTAATTAGGACTCAACAAGGATGTTAGGCATGGGATAGATAACTTTTATAAACAAATCCTTGTTTAAGAGGTGTAGGGATGCGTTCAAATTACGAAACTAATGTTTCACACATAAACGCGAACTCATCATTATGTACGTACCAAAATTGTACTATCTAATGTTTTGGTACCCTATGTTTTTATCTCCTATTCTTAGTAAATAATGATGTTTGTATGCTTTGTGCAAAGCAGAATAAAATATATTGGTACAAAAGTATAGTAAACATTTAAGCTTCCTATCCAAAAGGCGTATGTTGTAAGTCAGCTGTAAAATATGCATTTTGTAATATGTCATTAATCGAAATGTGTCATTATTTTATTGGGTTTTAAGCATCAAGATGCATGATTCAAGATGTGCGTGTGCAATTTGCCTGCTAATATGTAGATGCTAAATAGATGCTACAAATAAATTGTAATAAAATAAGCATTTATTTAGGAGTTTTATATATTCAGAGTATTTGGTTGTTTTATCTATAATAAATAGTTTGTGGAGGTCACAGTGGAATATTTTTATTGGTGGTAAATAAGACATTTTAATCGGCAAATCCATAAAACCTTTATTGCATAACTTTACTGACAATTTTATGTGTCCCTTCTTTTAAAGATGAAAGTGTTGTATTTCAGAGATAAATCTTCGAATAATGATGATGTAACAGTTTAGCTTGTGCTATTTAGATAGTTTGTTGATATCATTTTAGTCACGGTTACACTAGTAGTGCATATTAGAATATTGTTAACAAGAAGTTTGTTTCATTTCAATAATCCTTCCTTTATTTGTGTGGGTGCACTGAATATAACTAAATGATTAATGTTTATACATGTGCAATATAATCGTATATCAGTGAATTACCCTGCCTCACAAATGTCACAATATACCAAGTATGGCAGATCAATGCAATTCCAAGTAAAGATCTACATTAAGTCTTTCGTTATCTATTTTGCTTGTGTAGTACAATAACATCATAAAAATTAAATACACAGTTAATAACTGTCGTACAGTTGCAATTATATCGTCAAAGGAAATTATGAAAATAACCATTTTAAGTAAAACATGAATACAATAACGATTAACAGTTTATAATCTAAGATGCAGTTTTAAGATGCCATGGATGAAACAAAGCTGTATTGATTTCATAAAACATGAAATTAATATTATAAAAGACATGTCAGACTAGGTATATTCAACATTCGAACAATTTTATTAACCTGGCACAATAGAATATCACATGCCCTCATCATATGACATACCTTATTATACATTAAAATAGTAGAAACAATATTAGTGTCCACAAACATACAGGTGTCCCTTGAAGAATGGACCAAATGGAACAGGATCATAGAAAAGGACATCCTTATCTTTTTGCTCTGGGAAAACTTAACAATTCAAACTTACGACCAGTAATATGTTAGTTTTGTTCATTTGCCCATTTCCCAATATGCTCAAAGAACAGACCACAAAAAAGTATTGGAAGTACCAATGTAATTTTTATTTTCAGAAGAGTTTCAACACTAAATCCGGCTAAATCCGGTTCCACCAGTAGTAAGCTATGTGTACCAATGAATATGATTGGTGGGTGCCAAACGCATCCACAGCAACAGAAGTCCTCCTAAACAAAATTCTTTAACTTCTTAACTATTGAGTAAATCCTCGTGTTTCATATCTACAAATAATCTGTATGAATGGCGAGTTTTTCTGGTACATGGCCAACTTTCCCTAGTATAACTTATTTCGCTAAAATCACTTCAAAATTGAATTTTCGCGCAACACGCGACTTCATACAGTTATAGCCTCATGTATGCCCCCCTATTCGATTTGATCCATAATTTTAGGGATACCTGTATACATTAAATTCATTTGCATAGACCAAGATTAAATTATTATTAAAGCATAGTTGTTTGTTCAATAAAACTTACATCAATTGCAATTCCTAAGTTGTACAGGATAACTTAAACTTGGAGATACAAAGGTCACCAACATATTTAAAAGACTGAAAATAGAAGATATTTGATATCTTATGAAATCTTGTGTTGGTTAACTTTCCTTGCAAAACTTCCAATAGGCAAGTAAAGTTTTTATCCATACTATATTTTGATATAACAAACTTATCACCTATACCACAGTTTGGTGAAAATCTTTGTAATATCTTAGATGATTTAAAAATATAATAAAAACAGACATTAGGAATTTGCCATAAACTTAGTTCAACAACATTTAGAATATAAATACATCTCAAAATGGAATAAAAGTACATCAATGAATAGATTAATAAGACTTATAATAACATTGAAAGTGGCCATATCACTGTTTCCTTGACCAAGCAACAGTTTGTTACAGCTATAATATGCATTTCGCTAGCTTGTTTAATTTCATGTATGTTAAAACTTACACAAATGTAATAAGAAACATTTAAAAATCATTTACCAATCTTTTTGGTATATGCACCATTCTTACAATTAATATTTTCGAATAATAAAATTTCATATTAAGACAAATACAAAAAGTTGTAGCTACCATGTAAAAAATATTTTAAAACTAAGACGAGTTGTATAAATCAAAAATCTATTATAGTATGCAAATAATATATTACATTTTTACAAGTATTCAGCCAAAGATATACGAGTGACTACTAGTGACATGTTGTTATTATGTCTGTGTGTGTTGTTTAATGTTACATGAGTGTAGATGATCTTAGTTGCTCCGATTACCTGAGCAACAAGAGGACTGGGTCGGTGGTGCCTCATCATCAACCACCACCACTTGTGAGGTTCTGTTAACATCAGTTTGAGCATTTTGCTCATACCTCTCAATCATAGTTCTGGTAAGATCAAGGAAGAGTTCCTCAACACCTTGGTTCAATTTGGCCGAAGTGTAGAAATGTTGAGCACCAACCATATTGGCATAGCTGAAATTCAAGCAGAGAATAATGTAATTCTAATTACTATGTGCTTTTTATAATCATATTCATATAAACCTGTACATAATGTGAAGCTTTACCTCTCTGCTTCCTCGAGTGGCACTGTTCTTTCATGTTCTAGGTCAATTTTATTCCCGGCTATAGTGAGAACAATATCAGATCCCAACATCTTTTTCAGTTCTTTAACCCAGTTTTTCACCTACAAAAATATTTTGTGTATATTAACTAAAACACACTGATCAATAAAATTCTAATTAGTTACACAATATAAAAGTCTAGTATTGGAATTATATAGGCAAGATGTTACTGTTTTGTAAGTGATAACAGAGTTTAGTATTTGGTCTTAACTTGTTGAGTACCGTCATTATAGACACAATTAAAGAAGGTTGTGGTCACCGGTGACCTCTCGGTGTTTGACAGTTTAAATTGGTTAGTATGTTGTTATAGAGAATTTTCCTGTTTTTATGGCATATTAAAATCATGCTTGTAATGCATCATAAGATATGATATGGTATGGTATGGTATAGAAAACGGATTATACAAAGTGGCAAAATATGCATCACCATGTTTCATTTTAATTCTGGAAAGGCAAATTTAGGATGGATTTGACTTGCATGTGTTTTTGTAATCTTCAAATAAGATTTTTTCCTAATATAACAAAACATTGAGTACAACCTAGACATTACCTACATTTCTACTAGTACTAGGTATGTGTGGTAAAGGTTCATTGGTTAGAAAAGTTGTAAATATGAGTTTTTGGTGTATGCATATTATTATATGTAGTGTTTATGTTACATTACAATATTTTAAAGTGAATATATACCTTTCCAAATGAATCTTCATCTGTGATATCATATACCAAGATAGCCCCATTGGAGTTCCTGTAGTAAATTGGGCCCAATGCATGGAATTTTTCTTGACCTGCAGTATCCCAAATGGATAGGTTTACACGTTTGCCATTAATATTTAATCTCTTGTTTAAAAATGTGGCCTGTAATAAAGATTGTTTGTCAATTAGGAAGAACATGTGATGTTCATGAGGGTACATCATATTTATCATACACTGAAGTAACACTTTCTAGTTGTACAAAGGTAATAAAAAACCTAGGCAGACTAAGGAATTTAAAGTAGGTAAAAACACTTGACTTTGACTGTCATATGTAGGATTTTTTATGATTGTTAAATGTATAACAAAATTAAATATTCTTCATGTATCTACCTGCAATGTAGTAAGATGTTTATCGTTGAATTTGTCTTCTATATAACGCAACAGCAAAGAAGTTTTTCCAACACATCCCTCACCCAGTAAAACAACTTTGAAGTTGTGAGTACCGCTCGGCGCGGTAGCCATTATACTTATAGATTCTTGGAACCTTCAAACTTAAGCTGAAGCAAATTAAATTTGTAGCAGTTAAGAAATACGTAATAGCTACATACAAAGAGCAGATTGGCTATTTTACATCACGAACAACCACAAAAGCATTTGAGAGTGACATATAACAAAGTATTGGTATGTACCACTTGTTAATTAATAGTAAAAATCGAAGAACTTTCCAGTTTATAGAATACAAATCGGAATTATTTTTCAACAAGCCCTCTAATGTCAGTTCATGAAAATGACAATTTGATAAAGTACGTCAAAGACGTCAAACTTCAAATGGTAATGTTACACAACATTATAGATTAAAAATAGAACCATAGATAAAACTACCTCCATTGGGAAGCCCGAGTTTTTGAGGATTATAGCAGATTTCCCTTGCCATTCAAGAGAGAAAAATTTGTTTTTTTTAGATTGCTAGAGTGATTTCATATATCAAAATAATATTTTCGTTATTTGAGGAACTGATTTATGCTTCATTATCTAATTTAAGAGAAGGAAGTGGGACATTGACTGCACAGCACAAATGCTGTGGTGTGGTCACCGACCTGTGCAACGGGTCGTGGGTTCGATTACCGCGTCGAACAAAAAGTGATAATGGCATTTTCTGTGTAAAATTACTGAAGTCTTACTGACTTCGGTACATTAGTTCGGCGGTGTTTCCACCCCCGTGCTTCGCAAAGCACAAGCCGTTGGCACGGAATACTACCATTGGTCCTGCGCCTAACCCATCAAGTATCCCAAACTTTACAGCGCTTTACATTTGGTAAAAGTACCTATTGTATTTGACTTATTTGCCGGAAACTATAGAAAATGCACGATTACGTTTACATCGCTTTAGTGGTTTTAGTACTAAGTAGCTACATAGTCGAAGGAGAGTTTTTCGGTTGGTAATTGGCACGGAGTACGGACTCAGTTTCGTTGTATTTATTATTGTCATACGTGCCGATGTAGGTATACTCAGTGACAACAATATTATGGGGTACCTAAGTAAAAAATAAAGCAATGCTCACTCCTTAATACTTACTGATAGATATGTTACTGAGACTGGTAACAAATAGATGTTTGTTACAGTACAGTGCAGTGCCTACTTACCAGTACCTAGTCAGTAAAAAGCAATATAATGTAAGTGTTGCACGGCATAAAACGTTGTAATGGCTGGGCCATTAGGGCCAGTGGCAATACATTTTTAATTTTTTATTAACTTTTGCCGGCGCCTGTCTTTGTAAGTAATTTCTAACTAAGTAGGTACGTAGGTAGTATTTATTAGCGTATTTCAGGTGAAATTATCAAGTGTAGTAACATTTTCATTTTAGCCAACTTGGTCAAATACACACTCTAATTTGTAATAGGGTAATTAAAAAACAAATGGTACCTACTTATTTGAAACTTTATTTATTATTCTAAGTTTTGTATTATTAACAAAAACCTTCCTTAAAAACTAGGTGCATGTTCACCGATTATATTATTTATTATTATTATCATTCATTACAAAATTGACACATTTTATATTTTTTTATTTGTACGAGTTGGGATACAAGCCTAATTTTTACGATTTCGGGAAAGTTTCAATACATGCTTTTCATGAATGTTATAAGTAGTGAGTTTTGTATCAGTTTATTTGTTAGTGTTCGATTATTATTCATCCCGTTAAGTAATTTTTACTCATGCAATTATTATACAATACAATTTCTTATAAATAAAAGGTAATACAAATTGTTCGATTTTTTTATTCCAGAATTACAGTGTTTTTCAAGTGAAGATGGTATCTTTTTCACTGACTGAAAAATACTGTATTGGAAAAATTCACAAGTTTCTACATGACTAAATTCACGTACCTAATATAAAAATAATAATTATACAGTCTAAGGTAGATGCATTGAATGAACCTCATTGCAGTTACCTATAATAATTCAGTAGGTAACGGTCCAAACTGATAACCGATCTCAATACAAAATCTATGAATTTTGCAAGGACGTTGAAAAAAAGGAGGAAACAGTCTCTTGAAACAACAGCTGTGGCACCTGGCTACTATTTTTTTTAAGCGGGGAATATTATCGAACGGCTGCCCCCGCCTGGGTGAGGCGGGAGGGAGTGTGAGACTCTTACTGACTGAAAACCACTCCGTTACTTTTCCTGCACGTCGAGTAGACTTACACGCAGAACAATCACACATTGAAATGAAGGAAACATAATATCATTTTCTTAAAGGTCATTCCACATTTAAGCACGGCTCCAACCCAGCCATTAAGTTATCATTTAAGGACTTTAAATTTTATGTCGTATGATACAATTAAATACGTGCACTCGAGGTGTTGTCGAGGCGCCGGCGCACCGACAGCGCGGCGTCGGTGAGGCGTCGGCGCGGCGTCGGCGAGTTGACGGCGAGCCGACCACCAGCGCAACAACGTCGCATCGTATGTAGGTATTGTTAAAAGCTTTAACGCCGCGGCTGGAGCGCAGTTGGAAGCGCGTAGTCACCGCGCCGACGCAACGCCGCGCCAGAGCCGTGTTTATTAAATGTGGGATGACCTAAGTCTGGTAACGTGGTAACCCATTACACACGCACACATATGTAACCTACTGGCAGATTGGTGCTTCAAGCATTTGTAAGTGACATTATGTCCCCCATTTTTCAATGTAAGGAGGTAGGCACAAGGTAGGTACCAGGTACGTAGGGACAAGGTAGGTACTACGTACCGCGAGAGAACAACAAAAGAGATTTTTGTGATGTAGGTATTATTGCGATATTACCATTGGACATCATCACAACAACATAGAATTGGGCTATCATCTTGAATTATAGGGTGGTTAGGGGTCATCCATAAATTATGGGTGCTATTGCTTTGCTATTGCTATTATAACTTAGGGGTCATCGGGTCATCCATAAATTATGTCACACGAATTTCATGATTTTTTGCCCTTTCCCCCGTCATTTTCACAGCTGGTCACAGTTGTGAGATTCCCCCCTCTCTAGTGTGATGTCACAATTAGCAAATTTACATACATAAATTATTGAATGAAAACAGCGGTTCCCACTCGTGGGTACCGAAATCATAATTATATATTTCCATTTAAATAATTGAAAAAATATATTAACATGATCAAACAAATACAGCGAGTGGTCACAAAAACAATTGGTATCTTATATTAAAACATATACAGTTGTAACTATATGTTTTTGAGTTTTATTACTTCTGTTGTTTTCGTATTTATTAAAGTTCGTGTTACTATTATAATCTATGTTAAACGCAGATTAGGTATAATAGTTTTCAAAATGTGATGTCATAATGTTTAGTATCACTCCCTCCCGGATCCCCTCCCTCTTGTGACAGAATACTACACTTCGTCGACTCCTCTTTCCCCCGGAACGTGTGACGTAATTTATTTATGGTCCCTTAACTAATGCTATAAAATAGTCAGGTGGTTTGGAGAATATCCCAATATCCTTCATCAAAGTATGGTATGTTTAGAAATGGGTATAATAGATTATTAGGTATGTTACCGATCGAAAACTAGGCAAGGCTAAGAAAATGTATCTCAGATCTCATTAGGTTGCTACTTTTATACCTTTTACACATGAAATTTATTAAATATAGACGTGTTAATTTAAATGTTCACTAGTTATACTCGTGTGTTAATTAGAGAATATGTTATTGTATACCTCTACAATATGGATATTATTTATAAACAAAAATATTTTGCCAAACAGCTGCACAGATTTGAGACGAATAGAAAATTTAAAAGATGAAAGCAGAACTACATTTATCGGTTCAGCGAATTGTAAACACTATTTCTATATCAAGCACATAAATAATAGCGTATAAGACTGCCAACCAATTCTGAAATGAAATCTTTATATTTATGTTATTGCTTAATCTGAAACACGAGTAATCGAAATTTTACGACGTAGGTACTATAGCAACTAGTACCTATGTACAATGTACATACCTATATGTCCACAATTTCATACAAAACTGTAACACATCACATTTATGTAAGATCTTTGAAATCAAAGGGTTTATGCATTGACTTCTGAGTTCCCTTTGATGAACTAGCAATATAGAATACTGATGTACTATTTTTTAATTTGTTTCTAACAACTACACTGAACCAGTCCATAACATTAGTCGTCTTACTTTTACCAAGAATGTTAACAAAAGTATTTTTTTGTTTTAGAGCTCCATCAGGTCTAAATCTTTTAGTAGTTACAGAAGGTACAAATGTTGTGGAAGTTTTATGGCTTGGCAAGGATCGTAATCTCATAGCAAACATGTCCTTCAATTTAATACTTTTTGAATTGTTTGTTATTTGTTTTGGAACTATTGAATTATATTTAAGGGATTCACGTAAAAATTTCAGTACTTTTTTGTTTTTGTCGGAGCCGGAAGGAAAAAAGTTAGAATGCGTAGTTTTAGGTCTCGACCCGTAAGATACTTTAGTAGTAGAAGGTGTAGTCTTAGACTGAACTCCGGTTGGGTAAACCAGGTAAGTAGAAGGACTTGGATGGGGTTTTGTAGTAATCCTTCTGGTAGTAGTTCTCTTTGGTCTAGGAACTCGATAAGTAGAGAATGGTTTATTTGAAGGAGTTCCAGTAGGATAAGGAAGAGTAGTATAATTATACGGTATTCTACTTTGATAAGATGGCGTCGGAGGATATAAGGTAGGAGTAGTACGACGAGTATATGGCCTTCGTGTAGTAGTAGTAGAACGTATTGTAAATGTTCCTGTTGGGTATACTAAAGAAGATGAGATCGAAATTTTTTGAGTCCGACAGGGTTTAGTAACCTTAGGGGTAGTCCGAGTAGGGTAAGGAGGTAGAGTTGTTTTTTGAGGTATAAAATTGTTAGTAGGATAAGGATGAGAAAAAGATACTGAAAATGCAGAGGGACGATGAGAATAGCGAAGACCAGGAGAATGTGATGGCGCAGTTTGAGTGGGATACGGATGTGAAAGAGCTGGATACTTTGGGATCATATATTTAACACTTACTTTAGATGGAGTAGGAGCCGAAGGACTTCGTGGATGAATAGGATTTGGTTGCTTCGAAGGAGTTCCCGTTGGGTAAATAGCAGAAAGATAAGGAAGGGTTTTCTTAGTTTTTGAATATTCTGGCTCATAAATTCTAGGGGAAGAGGCAGTTATAATATTTTTAGTAAGATAACGGTTAGGATCGTTAGTTGGCTGCGTTCCAGTTGGATACACAGCTGAATGATAGGGATATGTTGAACGAGGTTGTGTATCATCTGGCTCAGAAGTTGAAAATAACGTCGTAGTAATTGCTGCTCCTGTGGAGTAAGGATAATCAGGCCTCTTTGGAGAAGTTCCAGTAGGATAGACTGGAGACGAGCAAGGTTGCGTTGAAGAAGGACTAGTAAAATCAGTACAGGTAGTCCTTATCGAACTTGTAGTTGTTTCTTCAGTATCGTAGGAGTAAATAGGTTTTGGAGGAGTCCCAGTAGGATAGACTGGAGAGGGATAATTTTGCGTTGAAGAACGAATAGTAAAATCAGTACGCATTGTCGATGTCGAACTTGCAGTTGTATCTTCAGTACCATAAGAATATTTAAACTCAGGAGGAGTACCAGTCGGGTAAACTGGAGATGAATAGGGGTACGTATGAACTGTAGTTTTTATCCAAGCAGTAGAAATAGCAGCAGTAAAATCTGTTTCATAAAGGGGCTCAAACATTTTGGTTGGAGAGGTTCCAGTAGGATAAACATATGAACTGTAAGGACGCCTTGAGCGGGTGTGAGTAGATTCACGATAGTGAGGATATGTAGTTGTAGGAGGATAGTATGTAGATAGATATTCATCTGATTTGTAATCGGAAGTACGATATAAACTTCCAGGATGAGTTCCAGTTGGATAGACAGGAGACGGGTGAACACGCGTCGAATGAGTAATGTGCCATTTAGGCGTCGTCCTATCGTGGAGCGTAGTTATTACTGAATTATTATAGCCTAAGGTTTTGACAGTTTCACTGATCCAATATAGCGCAGGACTTATAGCAGTAAAGCTCAGCTGAGAAAGAGCACAACTGTCCGAGCTGGTGATCCCCGTAATGCCATATATTTTGCCTTCCAATAGTAATGGCAGGCCTTGTTCTTGCCGTTGACGACAAATTTTTATTGATCTTTTTGTTATTTTGTTGGAAGCACATACATAATATCCAAATGGTTGTTCTTTGTAACATCGTTGTACGATGGTTACTTGTAATCTTGGCTTGTTTGTATTCAATATAGGAATAAGCGCTTTTTGTCCTATCGTGGATAGATTATCTAGAGCACTTAATTTGACAAGTTTCCTCTTTTTCCCATTTTTTGGTATGACAACTAGACCAATATCATTTCGTGTAAGGAAATTATTGCCACGAACATAATTTTTATAATGTGGATGAATATAAGTTCGAATTATAGGCGAGTTATCAATATATTGACAATTTTCCGCACAATATGATGTAGTCAGGACGACGTCAGGTAAAATGAATGTTCCTACACAGTTCTGGATGGGTTTGTAGAACTCATTACTGCACTGGAGATTCACTATACTTGTTATAGAAATGCTTCGCATGCGCACAACACAAAACGAAAATATTGTATAAAATTGAAGAGTTTCCTTCAACATTATATTATTTAAACTATAAAACTATTATCAACTTCATCGGTTAACACTATTGTTGTATTTTTATGGATACATTTAACCTGCTTCTTATTTGTTTTTATAGTAAAGTACTGGTATCGAATGTTTATTGTAGGACAACTTTCAATGTTGCCTTTACCTATAGAATTACAGATTTGCGGTTTAGACGTAGTAACACATAAAGCGACTATTTTCTAATTAACTCTCAATACTTTGTTGATACGAAGTAAGATAGCTATTTTTTTGAAATGGAATGACTATTGGCTTTAATTAAAAACACAAATAATATTTTGCAAACCAGATGGTAAAACCTGGAAGACGCCCTGTAGTGTTTGTGGTATGGAATTGTTTATTTCACCCTAGTCTGGCTGATATCCAACATTGTGTTTTCGAAGCTGTTATAATGAAAGCGGTTATTATTTTATTGACGTCATCATTTTCCTTTAAATAACAGATTGGACGCACATTTGCTTTGTTTAATTTTTGCACCCGTCAATGGTTTACCATATTTTTACTAATTGTCATGTAGTACAACGGATTCAACGCAAAAGACAATGGGCTAATTCCATACAAAAACCCATGATCAACAGAAACCAAACCAAACCAAATCTAGGCCACAGTATCACATGGTTGGCGTTATACATTTTACACTGTTTGTTTGTTTGATGTCTCTGGAATGAAAGTTAAGATGGTTGTATTTGACCTAAAACTGCAGTAACTATAAAAATAACCTTAAATGCTCTTATAGTTAATTAACAAAAATTATTGGGACAGGCGAGGATATAAATATGTACACCGTAGATAATAATCATTTTTAACCGACTTCAAAAAAGGAGGAGGTTTTCAATTCGACCTTATATTTGCTTTTTTCTTGTAATCGACTATCTTGTAATGTATGACTGCAATGTATCTACGAATAAAATGTAATATGTCTATGACTATGATATCAACGTAAATATTGTATTGTAATTATGAAAATTATTATGGTGACTTTAATTTGAAATTTTTATACTTTGCACGCTTGCTCGCAGGCAGAATACAATGACTTTGAGGCTGTAAGATCTTCCTTTGTAAATATGTATTCTTGCAAATAAATGAATTTGAATTTGAATTGTTCTAATGCGGTGACAAAATGATTCCAACACCTCTCGTGTTTGAATCTTCACGGCCTAAGAAGTAGATGGTGTTTCTTATTGCAATGGTCTAGTCTATCCTAATACGTGTACAAAAGTGTCGGAGTGCCCAAAAATAATGGGTTAAATTTTTTGACAGCTTACTATCTCGTGTAATGTGTTTAGATATTAAAAACATTGATATAATAAACTGCCAAAAATAAACTTACGATGAGATATAAATTTTGAACAAATGTGAAAATTTTGAAAGTTTTTCACATATTGTTTTAACGTGGCCATCCTACCCTGTCTTGCCTTTATCGTGGGGGCAAACTAAGTTCATTAGAGACGTGATAAGTAGGTATAAGTATAACAATGTCTTTTTCTGAGACTGGTAGAATTATGGAAGATGATGATTTAAGATTTAATAGTATGGTACGTTTTGTACGTATTTTTATATGACGATAAATCGGAGAATGGCATGAGCTATAATGTTTTATTTGGTAACGCTTATAGATAGAATGAGACGCATTGGTTTGGCGCCTGAAGTGTTGAGTGTAAAGCGTTCGTTCCGTATGAACGAGCGCTGGAATTAATGTGGCGCCGGCGCCGGGTGCTGCGCGGCATTCCACGCGAGCTCCAAGAAAGTGCATCCGTGAATAACCACTCAATCAACCAAGTCTCGTAATGCTCGATATTAAGCTATCACGCGCCGCTGCCCCGAAATAGAACCATTCCATTCATAAACAATGCACATCATGAATGAAATACTATCGGCACATAACGCATTACTAACTAAATTAACCACTCTATATACGCCGTGCTCTGGACTCTGGTTCGCCCAAATGAAAGTACGTATTGCCATAAATCAAGATAACGTGATGGAGTTATGCGGATGAGCCCGCTATTAAAATGCCAATAATGTGCCAACTTCAATTGCAATGAGCTAGTTCCGATACTAAACATTATAAATAATAATCAGCTGGCATTTCTTGTGCGTACGAATTCCAACAATATCTTAGTATATTAGCTGCGATAAAATGGATTGCTCTGAACAAATAAATACATAAACATGGGTGTGACGGTGCCGTGGTGTACTAAACAAACACTACAGACGCTCGAGCGATTTATCATTTTCGCGTGCTCGCTGCACCTAGGTACGTGTGGGGATGTATATTGTTTTTGTCAATTAGTTGTCCAGCATCCATGATCCATATTTGTGACGTACTTCACTATCCGCCGTACTCAGAGTCATTTAATGGCTACTTAATCCAGTCCTTAGCAACTGTTTTCGGAACACAATCGTTACTAAGGAATATATTAAGTTAAAATGTATCTGAGTATCGCAGTATGACTTCTTGATTGAGTTTCTATTAAAATATATAATTTAAAAATATATAATTTTGCGAAATATGTATGTGTAGCTTTCGTTTATTTATTTATTTCTTCTTCACAAAAATAACAGTGAATGGCAGACTTAATACCTTAAGCCTTTGTTTTGTAATTACAGGAACCGTTATTACGAGTATACAGTTTTATAATTTATGCAATGCAGAGAGAATATATAATAATTGACTTTTAGGTAAGTCTGTGAAGGGAGTAGCTCTTAGTAAAGGTGTGCGTACTCAAACGGTAAAAATGAAATTCATTTTCCACTAAATGTATGTAATTATGAACCCCAACGTAATATCCATACTAAAAGGTTAATACTACTTTTAAATTGGATAGTAGATACCTATTGATAATCAATTGAATTCTAAAGACATTTAGTTTTATTCCTATATATTTGTCATTACTGTTCCTAGGTGTGAAACGTAGTTATTTTCTCAGAATAGAATAATATCTCAGACGAGACCTAACAATCCAAGTTCCTTAAAACGAGTTTTAATAAGTACTGAAAAGAAAATGTTGTTTTTAACATTTCATTTTTCATCTGTGTGTGGATTGAAAACAAATGTTTTATGTTGGTATGGTTACATTGATTGATTGGTATAAGTATTTAGGAAATGGATCTGTAGAGTTAGAACACCTGTCTCAACTAATACATCATTTTTAATTATCATGTCTTTCTACCGTAAGGTTAGACAAAAACATGAGTATTACATTACATGGGATGGACTTTAGATAATAGGGATGGGTGGGGTAGGGCGGCACCATTTTAGGTTCCGTGCGATTATTAAGAAAAGTATAACACAGAAAAGCTCAATGGTATTTTTTCTCAAACCAGGAATCGAATCTGATTGTACAAGGAAAAATAGATAAACGGTAAAAGAAACTGGTACAACATAGGAATTAATACATTTATTAATATCCATTACATAACATCTAGTACGCGTAAGTTAAATAAAGTCGTTGTAATCATTTAGTTTACCCTGAATTTGGGAGGTCCGTATGTTTCGTGGGGGACTCCCTGACTAGTAGAGATAGCACCTTCATAGCCTGCGCTGGATGCCGTGCTGCTCACAGTTACTGGCGAAGAAATGCTGCTGGAGATGTTGGACTCTTCCAGACCACTGCCGGAGCTAGACGAAGCGGTGCTCAGACCGAAAGCCTGGCTGGTGGAGCCCAGAGAGCTGAATGATCCGCCAGAGGAGCTGTGGTGTGGGTACTGGGCGACGGGGGACTGGTAGGAACCCTCAGCGGATCCAGAGTTAAGGGAGACAGATTGGCCCTGGTTGTAGTCCTTGACGATGTTGTTGATCACGGCTTGGGAATCTTCCTTGTTCTTGTACTTGATGAAGTATACCTCGGGCTTGGAGGGGGGCTTCTGTTCGATCTTAGGAAGGACGACTTCGGGCTGTTCGTCAGGTTTCTTAACAAGGACGTAGACAATAGTCTTTTCTTCATTCTGAGGTTGTACGGGAGCAATGACCTGTGGGGCGCTAGCTTCGCTGGGTGCCTTCACGAAGATGATCTTGTAGTGCTTCTGGGGGGGAGGCAGTACGATGGGTTTGCGAACCTTAACTTCTTCATGTTCTTCAGGAGCGGCGTGCACGTAGAAGTGTTTGAAAATTTGGGCAGGCTGGTGTTGCACTTGGTAGTACTGCTGGTATTTGTTAACCGCTGAAGCCTGGTATTGGCTGGATGAGTCGTATTGCGTGTTGTATCCGGTTTGGTAGTTAGGTTTTACATAATTGACGCCACTGTTGGAGCCGGAGCTTTGGTAGTTGTATCCAGAGCCGCTACCTGAGTGAGCGCTTCCGGTTTGGTATCCAGAGTTTTGGTGACCCTGGTAGCCTCCTTGAGATCCCGCGTATGCGGAGCTGTACTGGCCAGAGTTACTGCTGCCGAACTGGTAGGAGGGAACTCCATATGAGGTCTGAGGCACTTTGTAGTGGTAGCCGAGTCCGACATCGGCTGAAACCACTCCGACAGCCAACAAAAATACCTGGAACAAGGGAAAACATACTCAATACTACTGAAATGTCGTCACTATTTATCATTTACGTACTCTTAATATGTACTTGTATAGTAACTAAGTGTGTGTAATTAATTGGATCTAAATAAAAACGTGTACACTTCTGGTTGAGCTACAGGTAATTGTGTGTGTAGAGAGGCTGGAGCGGCGGCGCGAGGGCGGACGTAGGACCGGTCGCTTCGTGACTTCTCAATACCATGAAATGTTGCAATACAGAACGCGTTCCCGTCAAATTAGATCTAGTTATAGGTAGAACTGATGGGATCATTGTGGAATGCGATAAGTAAACTGAGTTCAACCGAGTGTTTTTTTATTTCAGTAAAACGCCAAGAATTATAAGTATGGAAACTTTCCAGTTAACCTTAACCTGAAAGAAGCTCTAGAGAGTCTCATTGTTTTTAAAGTTCTTGTTGATGACCTCGTTAAAATAAAATAAACATAATTCAAGGATTGTGGGAGTTGCTTTAATTGTTATTGGGAATAGTAAAGACTTGTTTTTTACTTTACCTACGCACGTAGAACTTTCAAGGTACAAAATAAAGTGTGAATTGTAAAAATGTAATAGGTAACTTCGCTACAACATTACAGTCCGAGGAATGCATTGCAAAGCTTCCGATAATCACAACCGTATATTAGATAAGAAATATGGAAGAATAGAAAGTATGGGCAAGGTCACGAGTCGTGCGATGCGCGATGGTACAATGGTTGGCGTGGTCGCGGTGGTTACGCAACCTGCGGCGGTGCACCACGCCCAGGCTGTGGGTCAACGATGCGGGTGCGTTGAACTTGAACTGACCAAGCTACTCGCAGCCACATGTTGGGTGCATAGCCAATAATGTTACAACATCGCAGTATATTAAAGTCGTTCAATTAACTACACACAAATTACTGTAATTTTCTTCTTCGGATGTTTTGGGTACCGCTACGTTATTTTGGTTTATTATTATTATTGTAAGTAATCGTAGCAAGGAAATTGTACTTGTACCGACAAGTAAGTTGTAAGGATCATGTTAATGGTATGGCAGGAGTCCGTGTCCTTTCAGAGACCGCTACGAAGCTACGGTGCTACGCGCCTAACTTGCTACACATTTTTTACTCTAGTAGAGCGGCTTTAAAAGATTTAATGACTTAATTTTATGGCACAGCGGAGATATTACTCAATGTGATTATTTTAATAAAAAAAATGTTTTTATTAATATTTTAGCGGCTGTTGTCTAATATATGACTCGCCACATTTATATTCTATTTTATATAAAGTGCCTTATAAACAAACATTTGCATGCCTGGAAAAGGTTGAATACACTGTACTGTTGAAAATTAGACTAAGATCCATTGTATCACATGTTCCTGCGAATAAATTTCTATTCTATTTCTATTTCTATTTCACAATAATGTCGGAATAAATATGGGATTTTAGTATCTAAATTTCTTTCCCGATGTCGGAATGGAGTTGAAATAATGTAGTCGTCAATGTAGCACTTGCACTATCAGATCTCTGCTTTGGAAAAATGAACTGTAAGACTGACTGGAATGAGAGATTTTATAACAATTTCTAAGAAAATAATAATCTTCGTAAACAGAACTAATTTATTAAGAAATCGCTAAAATAAAACTGTATTTTCATGGCTTTCTTTGATCCTTGGAAAACGCTTTGAAGTTACTCTGTTTCAATTAATGTTTTCTTTAGTGCAATATTTTTCTTACTTGGTACTTATTAACAAGCAACCCTGAGACTGACTTATGTAAACAAATAAGGACAATAAAGTAATTATTGTGAGGCTTTAGAGATATAAACGTTGTTTTTCCTAGTAGTTGTAATAGTTGTAATAGTAGTTGCTAAGCAAACATAAGTATGTTTGCTTAGCAATAAAATACTACTATATTAAGTTCTTTTTCACCACTTATTAATTTCATCCTTATAATACCCTGTTATTAAATAAGAATAAAAAATAACATTTAAAATGCCACATCGATTTCATATAAATGGCATTAAACATACCTATTTTTGAATAGTTTAGCCAGTCTGTCTACTAATAATATAATTTATCTAGCTGTGTCCTGTTTTTTATCATATAAATGCCTGCCTATTGATGTTTATTTTTTCTTATGGTAAAACTTAATATTGAATAATAATTGATTTACAACGACATCGTCGATAACACGTCATACGTATGAAATCATCACAATGAATAAATTAATTTATTAAAAATGTATATGATTAAGTTTAGACCAGTGAACTTTTTTAAATAATATACTTTTATAGTGGGTATCGGTAATTTGTTTAATTTATTCATAAAATGTCGTAAATTCAACGAGTTTCACACTGACAACAAAAATGTCTGGAGATAAGATTGAGGCTCATTAATTAGATGTACCCACAAAATAGAAAAATAGACGGATAGGTGTTATTTGTGAAGCGATATACGATGGACGATTGTGCAACAGAAACGGGTCAAAATCACTAAAATTTGTTGACCAACCGGAACTTTGTTTTATGGCTCGTCTGGTGCAGTGGAAGAAAGAGAACATTCCGATTGAACCTGTCGTAATTGTCTGGTTTGACGTGCCATCCGGGGACTCACTGCCAAGGTACCTATCGCTCATTTACAACTTACCAATTTATACTGATTACTTCTACATTGACCCTATATTGACGCACAGCTCATACATGAGTAGACAGATCGACACGGCAATGTTATTATATATTTATAATTCGATCGATATGGACCGACGACACGTATCATAATACCATTACATATTATTTCCATAATTTACATGTTTGATGTAACAGATTGCTTCTTAAATTGTGATCGTTTACACTTTCAGGGTCTAACTAATGGAATTATGAGTTTATAAATATATTTTAATGCGAAGGTTAGTGGAGCTGATGGATGGTATTATAAAGATTTACTATTAATAAGCGGCTTATATCTAATATTCATAGAAAATAATCCTAGTCCTTAGTTAGGAAATATTTTTAAAAACTTTGTTAGCGGTAGGTTTCTAAAGAATTTTGTATTTTAAAACTTGTTGTCGAATTGATCGCATACATTTATGTAGTGGAAGTAAGTTATTTGAGTGGACACTCAGAGCGAGTAAAGAGTTTTAATTTTAGGATTGAAATTTTTTATGTTTCACTTGGGATCGTATTTAAAGTATTCGAAAGTAAGGAGGAACCCTTTTATAAAGGCGTTGATTTAAATAAGCGCCGAAAATGAAGTGTTATTTTCGAGATTACCCATGCCTTCTAAAATTCTCTGCTTTTAAGCAAAAAAGTAATTTTATTTTAACTCGTCGAGTACCGTCATTATAGACACAATTATAGAACAATAGGTTGGGTCACCGGTGACCGCTTGGTGTTTGACAGTTTAATAACTAACTTAGTACTAAATCCAAACAATTTGATGCCACATATACCTAATTGCACAATAAAGGTAACGATAATGGCAAGTTTTCACATCACTATTGGTTCAGTTTTGTAATTTGGTCCGGTATAACGTAGGCATCAAGCTATTTTAGATTCTGTGTTAACACTGAGATATTTTCTTGCATCCAGAATAATGGATTGGCAATTATTGTATTTCTTTTATTTAAATGCGAGATTTGGCATTGAAAGGATCTCTCAATGAACTTGAAGAAATTAGCAAAAAGTTGAAAGTTAGATATGTACACACAGGGCTTTAACAACAGCAATGTTGTGAAATTTTTACATATTACTACTGATTTAAGCCTTTTCGGTTACTTTGATTAATGTTTTGTATATATTGCAACAATACACCTTGACATGTGGTTGTTATTTCGTATATTTATTGCCTTATATTGATTTTTGAGACTAGAGTCTAAATTTAAATTTTTCGTCGTTACAAGGTTAATGTCATTCACACAATGATGGGAACAATGTAATGCGAGTAAACGACGAAACTTCGATTTTTAAGTTTGTAAAATTATTCGATTATTAATTATAAAGAAATATTTTTTTTCTTGTAATTGAAAACTTATTTTACACTTCACCGATTAATGATTTTTTGGATCGATTAGTTTTTAATCAAGCCCTTATCGACTTCACTTTTAAAACAAATGAGTGTAATTAATATTTCTGTCAAATAACACAATATTAAGTTGTTAATGATTAGTTGTAAAGTTCACACTTCGCAAAGCTTATAAAGTATCAGTCGCGGAAATTTATTAAAAAATAATTGTAATTGATCAATACAATAATAATTTGATAATTATAATTAATAATTATATCGGTACAATATAAAACGTTTAAGTTTGGAACTAAAAAATAATAAAAAAATCACTTTTTGTAAAAGTTTAACACTATAATTGTAATCAATTTTACTATAAAATGTGATGTAATATATAAATTAAATCGAATAAAATGGAATAATAAAAATAAAAAATAGAACATATTTCGGTACGTACCCATGTAGCCTTCATGTTGATCGTGCGATCGCTTGTCTCACCGGCTCTTCCACAACAGGTGATGCGGTAAGTGTCGCTTCATTCAGTGGGCCGACTCTTAAATACCTGCCCGAATAGCCTGCTCCGTCCAAGCCGCCTATGTTGAACCTACAAGGTTATATCAGCGAGTTCATGCAAAACAATGAACTATGACATGTTTTCCACTCAGATCAGACATTTTCGCCAAAAGCTTTTAGACACAATATTGTATTACACTTAAATCTAGATTACAAGTATTGTTATACAGACAATAGACCTAATAGCTACCATGGGTATTCGTATTTGATCCTAACAAATAGATAGTAACGTCATTAAGAAAGCTTTTACGTAAGTTGTCAATAAAACTGAAAATAATGTGAACATTTTCTCCATTAACACGTCAGACGCGATCTTGAACGGGTTGACTGAAGAATACATTACGCCCACATAATGTCTGGTTCATTGTGTGTGGTGTAAAAGGGCTTCAATAATCCTTATAGATAACTCACTCATTAGTATGTATTTACGTACGTAATATATTTATTTAGGTGCTCTTTCGTTAATTTATAAGTGTACCGAAAATAACTAAACTATGTTTATTTTTTTTTTGTAATTTTAATGTCTCATCCCATAAAATGTAGATATACTTTAACATTTTGATATAAATCAAGGTGTACTTTATGATAGTCATAGGCATATCCCAGATTATTTTTGGGTGGTACTACAGTACAGCAAAAGTTTTATTTCAGTTATCATTGTCAAAAACATTGTTTTTATTATACATCTGTGATGAACATTGAACAGTATACTATATTTGTACTGTATCAACTCGATTCTAAAAAACATGAATGCGGATTTCCCTGTGCCTAATATACCTTTTGTGTCTGTCTGTCTGTCTATACTTGAAATTACTTACTGTGTACTTTTTATTGTTCAGACGAGCTATTAGGTCATATTCCCTAGATGGAAATGTCCGGTAAGTCTGTTGTTATTTTCGAGGTTTAGCGTTAGGATCATAAAGGTCACCGTCATCTCTCATTACTACCGGAGAAGAAGAAACGTTATGTCGTTATGCATTGTGTTCGGAAAAAAATGGCTAAATGTATCTATCAAACGTAAGGTTTTGCCATGTTATAGGTATTATAAATATACACTGTTCATGTGACTCATGTAATAAATAGGGTTTATTACATTATGTTCATGTTTCTCCTTCGGGAAAACAAGGCATGTTGCATAAATTCTAGTAGAAAAATGGATATAATAGGAGGGAGTGTAGGATAATTTGGTTCCAAAAATTGATAATTTGAAGTTGACATTGAGGTGCTAATAATGACCTTATCGGAAGGCCCCAGGATGCATTATTGGTAATTATGTATGACATATGACTAAGTCCTAACCTAGCTTCCATATTCAAGCTAAGATTTGGTTGTAGATACCTACATTATTAATTGCATCTTTAACATGACATGTATTAAAGTGTAAGCGTTAAATTTTATCATATGAGTGAGGTTAGTGGGGACTCGACTCCAGTGTCGTTGTGGGTGTCCAGTTGTCCAGTCCAGTGACAGTACGTACTGATTGCTTTTTTGCCCACATTCCATTCCAATCACGACAGCTAGGCTGCCTAACTAGCTCGCTACATAGGAAATAATATAGTGCTAAGGTGTTTGTAAATACAGGTGCACTCTTTATTCTCTCACTCTTACGATACGACGAATTACGTGCATTTCGTGAGACGTACGGGGGTAAAGCACCACAAACCTCTGGAATTCTAGATTAACTAATAGTCATTTTTATCACGAAATTCCGATAAACTAGGTACACTAAAACTACGAGTAACATATCCTTTTGTCTTAAAATTCAAACAAGTCAAAGGTCAAGTGCGTCACACATGCGTTTGTAATAACGATGATGTTTTGTATATTATTTACATTGGCTCGGCTGACCGTTAGACAATTGTGGGATGGAACCTTCGCCTTTGCGATAGACAACCAGAAACATCGTTTTTGTTGTTACTAAAAAATGTACGTTTATGTGATGTAACAATAACACTGTAAAGGCATATCCAGTGGCCAGCAGGTCAACAACAACCAACTTTTAATGGTCAGAAGAACGGGTGTTGAGGAATAAATATTTTAGTCTACAGGGGAATGTTGGGGAATCTGGGATTGGGGAAGGGGAGGGGGTGTACTTCCCGTAACCTCACTCACACGACGAAACACAATGCAAGTGTTGCTTCACGTCGGTCTTCTGTGAGACCGTGGTATCACTCCAGTCGAGCCGGCCTATGGGTCTCCCACAGTTAAATTGAAGAGACTAATTCAAGCACTGTTTGTTGATTAGGTACTTTGTTTATCTGAATAAAAAGCACGCGGTATGGAAATGTATTGAAGTAGGATATGGCCCTCGTGAGAAAACCTGGGCTTAAGATATCACTCATCCATCTTGAGCAAGCATTGTAGAGAGTTGTTGCCGAGTAATAATCATTCCTTCTTCTTCATATAATAGTTGATGTGTGTTGTATTGTATGGTAATTATAAAGCTTAGAAATTACAGTACATATAAATACCAGATTCTTAGACTTTCAAGTTATTAGGTATAGGTACATATCACATTCACAAACTACTTTTTTTATTAAATATGCCCGCGACTTCGTACGTGCATTCCCGTTTTCTCCCGTTCCCGTAGGATTTTCGGGATTTTTTTTGTCGTAAGAACCTTCTCCTGGCAATAACAAACACAACAAAGATCAGCCAAATCGGTCTAGCCGTTCTCAAGTTATATAGATACTGATTTTTAAATCGTTTCACATAAATTAAAATGTGTGTTTATCGAAAGTTAACTAAAATAATTGAAGCGTTTCTTTTTCTAATCTAATTTTCATATAAGTTACGTACCTGCCTAGTAAGTAAGTGATTCGTGTACGCTTACCGTGTGTATTTATGTATTTGTAATGCGCAAAACAGTTGTAGTTGTTTTTATACAGATATTTATCTATAATACAATAAATCATGAACTTTAAGAGTTGCTTCCGTAGTTTAAAATACCAAAAATTATAGCCATTGATTTATTTATGATGGCGTACTTTACGTAATTGTTGTTGCATTATTATCATCATATCCGTTAGTATCCATAGTTGAGTATTAATGGCAATTTGTATTGAGCTTTTAAGGTTTCATTACTATAATAATATTGAGAATTAATATATTGAGAATTTATTTGTCTGTTTATATATTAAATCTTCGACGACGATGTCATGGGATTGTCGTCAACTCACACTACACATATGGGCATTGTACTTATTGCCGTGCTTCACTTCAGTTCAATCGTCTTCAAAGAGGTACCCTAAAAATTTTTGAAAACTATTTCCATGTATTCTAGGTTGAAAAGATGCGAAATAAAATGTTCCAGACCAAACCTTTGGCGTGGAATTTTTTTCAATTCAAACAAACATCGAGGTTTTCACGTACGTGGCAGTGTATAAGAGAATGAATCGTAAAAAAATATATTGTATAGGTATACAATCTGAAATTAATAGCTTTCATTTTATGAGTATTTCATTTATAAGGCCTCACATAATTAAGTTCGTATTATGCGATAAAAGAACATTCAGAAGTACTTATACGCATTTTTAGAAACATTTTTAATTAATTACATTGAAAGATCTATAAAGGACCTTTTTTGTGAAGGTAACTTTGATGAAACCTTATAAAGATTATTTCTAGGAATAATAATTATCCAAGAGTCCTTGTATAAAAATCATTTTAGTCATTTATCAATAAACAGTTGCTCAGGGTCTGTGTGTACTGTACGTAATTATATATTATGTAGACGCACCACCCACGGCACAAGAGAAAATACAAACGTAGAAAGGAAGAAATAAAAAGAATAATATACTAAGAGGACTATACTAAAAAGAACTACTACTATAAGAATATACTTTTTTTCTATAATTAAACTGTCAAACACCAAGTGGTCACCGGTGACCGCAACCTATTGTTCTATAATTATACGGTACTCGACGGTGACCGCTTGGTGTTTGATAGTTTAATTAAGAACATCTTTTATTTATGTATTTAATAGTCCATGTAAACAGCACAGAGGATAACACATATATAAAATTCGAGTTCATAGGTGTTACATCTCTACTTAGAAAGGTTATAACATATACGAGCGTTTTCAATGTAATAACATTTTGGCTTGACACGATTATATAGTATCTGAAATAATAACCCTAACTGGACAAGCATATCGGCCAGCTTAATTATAATATAATATTAATAATATAGCCGTTTGTTCAGATCTTTACTGATATTACATGACGCCTACATTTAAAACCTTATTCAAACAACTTAAAGTTCAATTGATTGGGAATCTTTTGCAGATCTATTTGCCAATTGGCAAAGACCTCCTCCAACCTTTTCCAACCTGTCCTTAACTTGAGCTGCTCTGCCTGCTCTGTTTCACATAACACCTGCCACCTCTTTGATGTCATTGTCCCAGCGTTTCTGCGGTCTACCTTTCTTCCTTTTCCGTTACCTTGGGTACCATACTGTTACATTCTTACTCCATTTATCATGATCTCTTATCATGTAGCCTGCCCATATCCAGCATACTCCTCTCCATAGCGTGCTGGCAGGTTGTAAGTTGACTTACCAATTCTTGAGTTATAGCCCATGATTGGCAGTCATACATAAGGACAGGTAGTATGCATGTATTCAATAGTTTTCTTTTTATGTTGACATGAAGTGTTTAGTGTAAGTAGTAATTAAAACATAACGCTTTTTGTCAAAAGGTAAAGGTTCACATTACGGCACTTAATGCCATTGTAGAATGTAACATCCACTTTTCCCTATTTATGTTATGAGTCCCATGAAATAGGGGACCATATACCGGGCACAATTATAGACTCCGTGCTACTACTGAGATTTTTTTTAAAAGCCAGTAATACTTTGCGCGACCCAGGAATTGAACTGTATACCCCTTGCCCGGCAGTCGCAGTAACTAAAACTTTCAAATATATTTCCATTATCTATAATGTAGTAGTTGAAAGTAGGCCAGGCGAACTCGTGCTTATTTTAC